TCCAAACTGAAACAATAAATCTGATTTGAAAACATCAGGCGATAAATTTTTTATAAACACCTAAATTTCTAGTCCAGTGTCTTTAATTCTGTAAAATGTTTGATTACAGGAGGAGGAGGATAAACAAAAAGAAAGTAAAGATGGAACCGACGATAAAAGGCTGGCTGCCCAGGTACTGCATGGTTAATCAACACAATTGGCCGTCTTTCACATATTCTGAAAATGTCGTCTTCAATCCATTGAACTAAATTAAATTTTTATAACACTATTATTTTGGTTTGCAGTGCTAAAAAGTTTTGAACAGAAATGTTCTCTTGAACGAGAAGGTTCTAGCCTTTTAAAATTATATTTTGTCCCGAGCTTTAGTATGAACGATAATGTACACAATATGTTAAATAAAAAATGCATTATCGATTGTTTCATCGAAAATTACTTTACACTGGTTTGAAATGATAAGTATAACAAAATGCAAGGAAAGGGGGGGGCCCTTACTATAACACCCCCCTTCAGCTGATTTTAGATAATTTTATTCAGGTGAACGCTGTTGCTGTTCTAGATATGATTAAAAACCTTCAGGATGAAATACAAGTAATGTAAAGATTAAGAACAACTAAATTTGAGACTTATGTCCCTAAAACTGCCATGAGTTGTATCAGTTTTAGAAAAACTAAAAATGTATTGGTGCGGTTTGATTTAGTGTAGTAAACGGAAGAAAAAATACTTCTGAGGCCGAATTTAAAGAATTCAAGCCGCAGCTGAAATATGGTTTGTTCACTTAAAATCGTATTCATTGCTTCAATATTTAAGACGGCGCTCAATTGAACCCGATTTTTGGCGAATTTATTAAATTTCGGACACTAGACGATGTAATGCCAGAAAACTCATCTTTTGCTGAGTCTTTCATCTATGTCAAACAAATAAAAATTGTTTTCCAATTTAACATTTACAAGTAAAATTTCACATTGTAGCAATATTTATCAAATTGTTCTAGAATAATACATTTGAAAGTATTGTATGAAATGAATTTTTTGGTTTTGTTGAGTACATACTATCTTTGATTTACTGCAGGATATCGATGCTCAAATAGACTCGGAAAATAACAAGATGAAAGATCTGAAGAAAACCGAAGACGACGAATCAGATCTTGAAATACCAGTTTCAAGCGCGGCAAAGGTGTTCAGAAAATTTTGATTTTGATAATCATAATTATATTTGATAATAATGATAATCATAATAACAAAAATAAAAATAATAAAATGATTATTACAATAATAATAATAATAATAATAACACTAATACTACCACTACTTCTACTATTTCTAATAATAATAATGATAATACAGATATCAGCTGAGGAGACAATGAAAGAATTGACACTACAGAAGGAAGATACAACCATGAAGAAGGTCATTGCCCAGATGATGTTGATGAAACAAATTCAGGTTCAGAATTTTATTTAAAACCCGGAAAAATATCTCAGTTCTAATACAGAGGGAACCAGAAAACTGTGGAATATGACTCTTCTATTTCATATTCTGTCTCTATTTTGTTAAAATACTTTAGAAGAAAGCTGAAGAGAATGACCGGCTTGAATCTGCTCTGGTTAAGCTGGGAGAACGAAGAAAATTGATTAATTCTGCTCTCATGTAATAAAATAATTAATTACAATACGACAAACATTTTTCAATTATTTTTTTTCTTTCATTTTACACAAAAATAAAATAGAATCTTTATTTTTTAGGAAACAGAAGGAAGTTGCAGATGAAAAAAGAAAATTAGCCAAGGTGAACCTTTAATCCATAATTAATTATGTTATGTTATGCTTAAGTTTCAAATTATGTGTGTAATCAATAATTCCCAATTCATATATTGGTAAAGACATATTTAATTTTTCCATCGAAAATTGCTAATTATCCAGTTCCTAGTTACTGCAGCTAATTGCTAATGTTTATTTAACAAGATTCAAGCCAGAATCTAATGGTGATGTTGTAACTTGTAAGTCAGTGTTGGCATTAAGGTTTTTAGCGAACGAAAACTTTTGCGAAAAATTTAGACATTTTTCGCAAATGAATTTTGCGAAAAGAAGCGAAAATTTCTCATAATTTTTTTCGCTGGTTATTTTGAATTCTCTTTAAAATTTACGATATCATGATGTAAAGTGTACCCGGTTGTGAAGAAGGCAGAGCCCTTTTTGTATTCAGGATCATTGACAATTGCAACAACGATTTCTTTGTAAAATTATTTTTACCGTGTATATTATAGGTAAAAGAGATTATTTCGATCAATTTTTTAGATTTTTGCATTGATTTTTCCCAAATAAATTATGGGTGATCTTTTAGTTGTTTGTGCTTTCTGGACACCTCAGCATAGGCTGAGGTTAATGAATCTTGTTTGTTGTAGATTGAGATTGACCGACAGAAGGAAATTATGTTGGAGAAGGAGAAAGTTATCCAATCTATCCTACAGGTAAAAGGAGCCAAGAACTTTTAAATAGACAGAGAGAGTTGATTAAATTATCACGTAGAATTTTATAAATCTATTTATCGGTAAAAATCAAAATATAAAATATAGTCGTCGTATATTTCAATACTATTTTTGACTTCTACCAAGCTTTCAAGCGGCATGGATAATTATAAACATGAAAACCCTAGAACAACTACCAAATAACTTAACTTCTCATTGTTTAAGAGTAAACTTGTAATTTTAAAAATGATTGTTAAACACCAAAACTTAAGTAGAAAAGTCTCATTGTATTGATAAAAAAGCCAAACACTGCATATGCTATAGGTAGAAAAAATGAGAGTATAACTGATCGTTTAACTTTTACCATAATGCATTCTTTAAAATCTAATTAAAATTATTTTTGTTACAAAATAGGATTATTTAAGAAGGATTAAAATAAAAAACCTTTCTCTTGATTAATTGTTCAAGACTTTTTTCCTTATTTTGGCATCTTTTTTTCTAACATCAAGCAACTTCCAAATCAGACAATGTGCTTCTAAACAATTATTGTAAACTTTGATAATAAGAAAAATATTTTTAACTTCTAATTTATTATTTTAAAGCATGAACAAGAGAAAGAAGAAAGAGAAAAGGAGAAAGCAAAGAAGAAAGAAAGTTTAGAAAGACTAAGGTTAAAGGAGAAAGAGAATAAAAAGGTGAGAATTAAAAGATTATATCAAATGGGTGAATCTTAAAAATTGTGAAAAATTTCCGCCATCTAGCTAGCTGTTCATTTAGATTATCAACTCACATGCATTTCTAAACTTTGACATGACATCACCAAAAAAGAAGTGAAATTTCGTTTATAAAGAGCTAATAGCGTATCTAATGTTATAAAAATTATTGTTAGACCCATATAATGTAGAAATAGAAGACGACGTTGAATCACATTGACTCAGCCTGCTTCTAAAACGTCTCATCGATTTTAAGACAGTGTCGACTTTTAAGTGTCGCAACGCCTTGGGCGTTGATTTTACTGCTCTAACTCACATTTGCTTTTCGGTAGTCCTTTACATGTGCATTTTAAAGCATTTGTTGTTAGCTTTGGATTTAAAGAAGTTCTTGGCAAAATTCTCATCGATTATTGCTTGAGATCTTGCAACCTTTATATCACAGATGGGATGTTGTTCTCAGGCAAATAGTTTTACCAGTAATTGGAAAATAAACTTTTTACGTGAAATGGGTCAATGTATTGTCCACTGGACACTGCACAATTCCTGTTATTCGTGTTCAATTTACAATGCTATCAGCCATCAGGGCGCTTCGCACCCATCTTCTTTTTCAACTTTTAATTGTTGCTCAATCTTTCAGCATTTTCTCTTCAATAAACAATAATAAAAAATTGCGTATTTAAAAATTATTTTTCGTGGATTTTCAAAATTTATTAGAAAATAAAATAATGTTGATACAATTTTTTGTAATTCTGAGCATCCATAAACCTCCCCTGTGTCATGTGAGGTCCCACAAAAATTTTTGGCCCGATAGGTTCAGCCGTTTTGACGTTTATCGGTTACAAACAATTAAACAAGCAAAGTATACATAATTGCACTGCACTATTTAATATCATTATTACTTGTGTTTATCAGTTTAACATTCGTCTTCCTATTCCTCATATGTTGGATCCGATTGTATCTGTTAAATCTGTGTTTAGATAAGTATTGATGAGCAGGCTGGATTACTTGCTGCTCATATGAAACTAGTAGATCGAAGTAATAATAGAATCCTCGCCAGGATAGAACAGATTAAACTAGAGAGACAGAAGGAGGCGATTCAGGAGCAGGAGAAGGTGCTCTTAGAGCAACAAGCAGCCATATCTGCTCTCAGGTAAGCAATATTGGATATCCGAACAAAACACATTCAGATCATGTCAGCTTTAAATATCGTCTTCAATAAAAGTTTCTTAAGACGTCCATATTTATCATAACAATTTATTAACTTTTAGATTGTCTTATTTTTCTATCTACCTTTTCTCCCTACCATCAACTTTTCTATCTACCTCTTCTCCCTACCATCAACTTTTTTATCTACCTCTTCTCCCTACCATCAACTTTTCTATCTACCTCTTCTCCCTACCATCAACTTTTTTATCTACCTCTTCTCCGTANCCGCAGTACTTCACAGTACCCCACAGAACCCCGTATTAATCCACAGTACCCTGCATTACTCCACAGTACTCTTTAGTACCCTGCAGTACCTCCACACTACCTTGTAATAATAAATAATAATTTCTGACACCCCTAGGCTTTGTACGGCTTTATAATTCACCAAAAGCCTACTGCAGTCCTTCAATTATCATAGAGAGACATTCATCTTTCTAAATATCACAGGAAAATTATTTTACACCTTCTTTGAGCTTATAGTGACGCGTCATTAATTCCTTTTATATTAAAAAAGTAAGGAACATATATCAAGGTTTTTATGATAAGGTTGCTTACCCTCGTTTTGCTCGAAAGTACGGAAAATGTCTTCACCTTAGCATAGAAAGATAAAATCCGTATATGACTTCACAGATTATAGAGGCGAGAAAGACGTCACATGCGAATTCAATATATATATATATATATATATATATATATAGTATTTTCAACTTTTTCAGTTTAAATATACATTTTAGATGTTTAAATATATATATATATATATATATATATGCTAAGAAAACGACATATTTCCGACATTTGAGAAAACAACCTTTTTATACAACCTTGGACACTATGCAGTATTCAGCCTGAAAAAAAGATATAGTTCACCAAATTTTGTTTAGAATAATCCTCTGGCTGCAGCTCTTAATTTACCAGCACGACTAAACTTGAAGCAGAGTAGCGCACTTCTTAGTCTTAGCGATCAAGAAAGGAAACAGGTTTAAAAAAAAATATGAAAAAAGTTTAAATATTTTTTCTGAAATCCTGAATTTCTAAAGGTTGCTGAATGGTTGGATCTGGAGAGAAATGCCGAAATATTGCAGAAAACAGATCTAAAAATTGCAGAGAAATTGCGCGCAAAAACTGCGGCTGAAACTATTGGAACTAGTTCCGCCTTGAAGGTTGGTCATTAAGTTCCGATCAATTTCTGATTGATTTAATTTCTGCAAAATATCCTTTAAATGTAAAACACTTTTGGAAAATATCCTTTATAAGCAGAGTTTTATTTTAAAAGCCATTTATAGGGAGTGTTTGCGAAAAATAAAAAGGACTTAGGCCGAATCTGATTCGTAAACAAATCCTTTAAAGTTAAATTATTTATAAATAAAAACCGTAAAAAAATAACAGGAAAAGAAAGGTATTCATATGTTTACTGTAGATATCTTGTGTTTAAGAAAGCTCACACCTACTTCTGTAGAATTTGTGAATAAACCACTGGAAGATCATTCAATTGCTTCGACAAATATTTTCTTGTTCAAGCGTGAAATTCGTTTTTTTGTTTGTTTTTAGTTTATGCATAGTTTGTCATACTTCACTTCATTCCAATTTGTTTAAAGGAAATAGTTCGTTTGATTTTAATGCATTGTAATTTAAACAGTTGCAAAATAATTATTTCTAAAATTATGTCATGAAACATTTTATACTTTATTCCTAACAGTTTCATAGCTGGGCCCTATGTAGACTAAGGAGTTAACCGGTTTAAGCAGCATTTTGGCGTAGAGATTGTTAATTTTAATTTTACAGGACAAATACAGGGACATCATTTTTTTCTCAGTTAAGCCTTGAAAGTTCCAGATTTCAATTAGGGTTGCTACAGTGAGAACCAGAAAACTATGGTACAGAAAGACAACATCACAGTGTATTTGATGTAGTTACAAGTCAAACAAAAATAATTAGTTACTTATAAAATTCAGTTACATGGGTCTGCTTGAGTCTAAACTGTCGTCTTCCTATGCCAGAGGTTTCTGGTTATCATGCTGCACATGAATATTATAAAACAAAAGATTAAGTTTAAATTCAATTTTCTTAGCATTAGAGATTGAAATGTAAGTGAAGTTCAGTTTATTGTACCACTACCAAAGTTTAAATTGAATTTTTTGTTGTTGAAAGGAATTGCACAATAGTTAATTGCATTTATTGCGTGCTGTAAGGTTTAAAATGAATTTTATCAAAAAATTTGAAACACATACGCAAGAAAGTTAGACGGAATTGCGCGATATAACGCGCAATTGCGCGCAATTCTGATGCTTTTATTTGCGCGCAATTATTACGGAATTCCGCGCAAGTAAAATCCACTTGCGTTGGAAACCCTATTTTCAATCCATTTGATAATAATTGCATTTCTCAGTGCATAAATTTCCCTATTTACCCATGGCTTCTTATCCAATTCATTATGTGCGTTTATTTTAGATTAAGAACGCGGCACAGATTCTTCTAGAATCAGAAGACGACATAACAGACGACGACATTGATTCCATTCTTGGAATAGATTCTGGTCTGAGTATTGATGATTTATTGAACCTAGAGGATACTTCGCTGCTCGGGCTTGATGAAGATGAGCTTGCGTTTGATGACTATGAGGATGACAAAGATTATGATGATGATTATGATGAAGTGACCTATAGTTATGAATATGAAGATGAAAAAGATGAAGATTATGATTATGAATATGAGGAAAGTATTCTTAATTAAATATTAAAAAAAGAATCTTTGATCAAGACAATGATAATTATTATAATTTTCGCAGGAGGTTGTTACTGTTACAAAAGCAATACCTCCTCCAAGACCTAAGCCTTTGAGACCTTATTATCAAAAACCGAAACCAAGACCCAGACCTCAAAAACAATACCATCAGGCACAAAGGTGAATTAACATGACATCAATTAAAACATCTGACGTTTCTACATATTTTGATAATATGAAGGTTTTTATAAAGTTTAGATTCTCGGGATGCGCTCCAATGTGCAGAAAATTTCTTCACCATTGCAATGGACATTCAAAATCTGCATAGTGCATATGTAACTGAGTATTGGCGGAAGATGAGGTGAGAGGGGGAAGGATTTTCTCTGCTCCCTACATCTGTAAAGCGGAGAAAATCCTTCCCACCTTTCACTTCATCTTCCGCAAATGCTCAGTTACGTCATGTGAGAATTTTGAGTATCCATTGCTGCAAAGACGACATTTATAGAACATTAGAGCGCATCCATATTATTTAACCTTAATGAACCACCTTGCTACAACTGTTTGTTAAGATATCCTGCTCCTAGACCATCCTACTCTTATACTCCTGCCCCTGCTTCCTACTCTAACTACCCTAGACCCTACCCTAGGCAACAATCCTCAGGAGCTCAGGTACAATTCAGGGGTCAATTCAGAGGTAGTTTAACACCGTCAGAACTCTTTAAAATACTTTCAGAAAAAAGAATCGTTAATGGCATTGTCGACGTAGTTTCGCCACAATTAGAGTTTTAATTGCAAAACTCAAAAACCTTTTGCTCTTTGGTCCCTTTTTTCAGAAATTCTTTCAAACTGTTTCTGCTGCATAAAGGAATTGAGTCTTTGCCGCAATCTCAAACTTTCTAATCTTTATATCTTCGCAACCTGATATTAGATTATTTTATGTAGCAGAATTCATAGTTTTAAATATCTAAGGTCTACAACATTGAGTTGCAAAGATAGAGATTAGAAAACCAGAGTTTGTGGCAAAGACTTAGTTCTTTTGCAAGTCACTTTTATATGGAACCGGCCGCAATTGAAAATTATCAATTTTTAGAGAGAAAATCAATTCTTCTCAGAAAATCAAACATGTAAATTTCTTTAATTTAAGAGTTACTTGAAATTCCGTGGACAAAGAAATATGGTCGGTAAACAAAAAACAGAATTATGGTCGGTAAACAAAAAACAGAATTATGATCGGTAAACGAAAAACAGAATTATGGTCGGTAAACAAAAAACAGAATTATGGTCGGTAAACAAAAAAACAGAATTATGGTCGGTAAACCAAAAACAGAATTATGGTCAGTAAACAAAAAAAAACATTTTTTATCTGACTCAAGATACTATTGAGGTATTCATTTTTGCTGATATATAAACGAAAATCTATGTTTACGGAATCCAATTTGGTTTCATAAATGTAGTTCCTGGATGAAGTGACCGGTCTGCTGGAAACAGCTCAACATCAACCACACATCACGCTGACCGGCAGTCTACGAGACGCTTTACTCAGGTAAATAATTGTCATTGCTCAGGATCAAAATTTCATATTTTATTTAAAAATTGCGACATAAATTTGTATCATCCAAAAACTTTAAATTGTCTCTAAAAAACTGCTTATTTGTCTTGAAATTAACTATCGATGAAAAACTGCTCTGTATCTATGAAATGTCCTGTGTATTAAATTTGGTGTTTTTGAAATTAATGGAATGTCATATCTATGAGATGTCTTTCTGTAAAATGTCTGTGAAATGTCCCAATACCATTTTTTACCTTGAATAATCTCTACAGGCTTGATTTAATTTTAACTGCTTGAATTTATTCAAAACTTTATTAATTCTAGAGATGTTGATGATCATGTTAGAACGGAGGTTAACCGGTTACCAGGTAAAAACAACAAAACAAACTTGAATCTAAAAGTTAATATTATTTTTAAATATTAATTTTACATTAATTGTTTATTACATAATGACAAAATCAGGAAATTGCACTGGGCATCAATTTTAAACTATAAACTTTTTAAAACTACCTATTGAATTATTTTTAATAATTTTTGCACTTTTGGCTTTATTCCTAAAAGGAACTTATATATTAGGTTGTAAAGATAAAAGAGTTTGAGACAAATTTTCATTTCCTTTCTATATATTTGTTGTATATATTTTTTTAAAGCATGATTTTCTTGCATAAAACGCACTAGATCAACCACATATTGGGTAAACATATACGAACTGGTACAAGTGAACACTAAAATCTACCATGTGATTATAATGCAATGATTGTTTGTCTGCAGGAGGACGTGTGAGTACTAAAGTTAGTATTGGGCCTCCACAGCAATCTTGGCAATCATCATTCCAGTCCAATAGGATCCAACCTCCTTCGGACAGATTTCAGTTAGCTTCAAGCAGATCTGAACAACCTACCAGTGCGGTCCAGCCGGCCAATAATCAGCTTAATCTTGGTGTAAACAGAAGCCAGCCGGCCAATAGCTGGGTTCGGCCGGCCGCTCAGATCGACCCTAGAATCCCTCGACGGCCGGAAACAAGACGAACATCAATGGGAACATTCGGAGATTTAGTAAGCTCAGCAGAAGTAAAAGAACCCAAGGTAGAATCATTTTCCTGATTTTCCTGATTTTCCAGAATTTTAAAATTTACATTTTTTATTCTGTATTATTATGGAAAAGATTTTCATGAATTAAAAATTGATAGAAAATTCTATCTTTTATAACTTTGTTAGACTGTATGGGATCTTAATGTTAGTCTGTTTTTGATTTTGATTTTGATTGCTATTTCGAACAAAAATCTAAAAATCTATAAAACCCTATTAAACTATTTTAATTCTGTAACCAATCAGAACTTTTGTTTTGTGAATCTTAGGATCAAACATTGATCTTCTTCTTATGCAAACTTTATAATTACTATAATACATCTTCAATATCTCGTGGTTGGCATACCCTGCAGGGATAACTTTAATTAAGGGATAACTTTAATTGATTCTCAAGTTCAAAAGTGCCTACATAGGATATCGATATTAAGCTTTCAAGATTAACAATATGCACGTTAAAGTTCCGATCTAAGGATCGAAAGTAATGCATCCAATATCCATTCAAGTTAGCATTTTTATATCTGTATTTTTAGTTCTTTAGTTTTGGATATATAGGTAGAACTGTCTTTGATCATTTACTAATATATGTACTCTTTACAGGAGAGACTGCCCATACAGGAAATCAGTTTTAGTGAAATAATGGGGGATTTACTGAAAGACAAACCCCTACCCCCTGGTAAATAATTACTTTAAACCCCTACCCCCTGGTAAATAATTACTTTAAACCCCTACCCCCTGGTAAATAATTACTTTAAACTCCTACCCCCTGGTAAATAATTACTTTAAACCCCTACCCCTGGTAAATAATTACTTTAAACCCCTACCCCCTGGTAAATAATTACTTTAAACCCCTACCCCCTGGTAAATAATTACTTTAAACCCCTACCCCCTGGTAAATAATTACTTTAAACCCCTACCCCCTGGTAAATAATTACTTTAAACTCCTACCCCCTGGTAAATAATTACTTTAAACCCCTACCCCTGGTAAATAATTACTTTAAATAACAATTCTCTGATGTTTTAAAGGGTCTGTAGGCGTATTTTCAAGTGATCCTCCATGTTAGAGAGAAACATGCCGGATTTACAAAGGTACCCTTGAAACCTTTAGCTGATCAGTCATGTGGTAGACAACGTTGTTTTTTAGATTGAAGGTTTTGATTCTGTTAATTTCTCCATTGGTTTCCTGCAGTAGAAATGCGTAAGTCACTTTTGTTGAGAAACCAGAATTGAAAATACTCGTTTTCCAGAATGATAGACATGGATATCTTTTTTCATACTTGATCAGACAATGGGTTTAAAGGTACCGTTGTGAATCGGACATTCAACTCTAGAAAGGGAGAGTCAGTTGAAGTTACGTTTCAGACAACTTCATTATTTCTTCATCCTACGTAGTTAGAACTTTGAGAAAGATATTTAAGATATTTGAAATTTCAATATCATAGAATAGTTAAATCCTTTCCGTAACATATCACAAATCTATTATTTTAATATTTTAATATATTCTTCTTTTGAAATAAATAAACACTCCCTTTACTTTTATTAAATTGGTTTAGTTTATTGTTTACTGTTATTAGGTCTGCTAGACAACAGTAATCAGCACCCTGGAAATATTAGATTCTGATCAACAAAAATTCTAAAATTTCATATTTCGGTTTGCTAAATTTTATTTTTGTTCTGCAAACTTGCAAAAACAAGTGGTTTTATTGTTAGATCTGGTTTTCACATTGTATATATTACGAAAGCTAATTTTTCTCCACTGATCCATAATTGTTTCCTTGCTGAACTTGAAATATCAAATATTTTCATGATTGAAACTTGACTGAAAGCCTGAAACCATCTCTGTTAAAAAAATGGTTTTTAGAATCAGAAAGATAAATAATAAAAATAAAAAAATCTTAATTTTTAAAAAAGACAGAAAATTGTTTAAAGTTCAAATTTCTTGTTTCTACCCAAAGAAAATCCAAAATAAAAAAGCGAACGATTTCAAAGCAGATATTTGCTCAATTCCAATTTCCAGTGTTAATGTTTATAATCTCTGATTTTAATAAAATCACTTTATTTGATGTTTAATTTCACTCGGAAATGAAGGTGTTACTGTTTGACTCTTATTCTTTATTCCATAATTATTGACCAAATACTACGGTGGTAGGCGATTATATTAATACAATGAAGACGAATTTCGATTTAAATTTTGATCTTAATTTAAACAGCTTCTCTTTAATCACTTGTAAACTTGTAATTCGAAAAAAACTTGTTAACAATAAAAAAATTGAATAAAAAGTCGTCTTTATTATATTGATGTTATCGCCTACCACCGTATAAAAAGTGCAATCTTAATTATCATACTCTGTACAAATTGTAAATAAAATAAATTATTATTAAATCATAAAACGTCATTGAAAAAATCCATTTGATCGTTTTTTTATCTCAAGATTTGTTTTATTGATTTGTTTATTATTTTCTTTCTCCAATGCAAAAAGTTATTTTTCTAACAAATCACGGTATAAGTAAAGTAGGACTGGTTTTTTTATAATTGAAAAATATTTATGATTTTTGTCAATATTTTGCTGATGAACCTCCTATTTTAGCCATTTCCTCATCTCTTCTTAGCGCTCTTTTAGTGCTCGGTCGATATCTTCTCATAGCTTCTTCAACAATAGTCTCAGGGATTCTAGTTTCTGAATCAAAATCCCTTTGTTCTAAATGTCGTCGTCCTCTAAAACCAGAATTGTTTTTTCGCGCATTTCGTTTAACGCTGGTTTTATTTTCTTTCCATTGTGCTTCACTGGCTTGATTTTCTCTTTTACTTTTTTCAAATGTTTTTTGAATTCTCTCAATATGTTCTTCCCTGTTTAAGCTTCTGTCTTGTTTTCCAATTCTGAGTTTACAATGTTTGGTACTTTCACAATTTTTACTTAATTAGAAATTTGTTCAATCTAATTTCGAAAATCTGTTCTTGTCAAGTTTTTTTATTGAATATGCAAAATATTGAATATGCGAATATGCAAAATATTGACTCTGATCGAAGATATAAATTTAAGATTTGAAAAACAATTCGTTTGTTAACAAACAATTTTAAAACTTGTCTTGGCTCATATTCATTTGTCATCTGAATTAGTGAACATTTTGCATGTTATATACCTTGAATATCTCAAAAGCCTATATACAGATTTGTTAACTAACTCAAATTAACTGTATTTTAAAGTAACCAGTTTGAAAACCATTTTCGCTAAAGTATCTAACACCTTGGTTTCATGCTCAATGAGGTTCTGTGAACTTGATGATCGAATTCAGATGCATCAGTTTCCAGATTATTGGTGGTAAATGCATCATTATGTACAGCTTGTACAGTTCCTTTATCCGGTTCATCTCTCCGTACAGTTCCCCGTACTCTAGTTGTAAATACAACATTATGTTCAGACTGTACAGTTCCTATATCCGGTTCATCTTTCCGTACAGTTCCCCGTACTCTAGATGTAAATGCATCATTATGTACAGCCTGTACAGTTGCTGTATCTGGTTCATCTCTCCGTACAGTTCCCCGTACTCTAGTTGTAAATGCATCATTATGTACAGCCTGTACAGTTCCTATATCCGGTTCATCTCTCCGAACAGTTCCCCGTACACCCGGAGGTCGTTTACTTTCTCCGCGCTTAAACTGAAACAAAAAAACATAATCTACATAATCTACAGGTTACCCACAAAGAATGAGACTTCAGAGACAACTGTACTTAATTTTTTTAGTCTTTGTTCTTATTCATGATTCACTACAACTGTAAAATTATTTCTTTATTTGTCAAATCATTTTATGCCTACATTTTAATCTAAATTTAATCGTCAAGACGTTGTATTATCAGATTTTCAGTTTGGAATTAAGTCTTGCATCCTTTGTGCATAAATTACCATCTTATTACATTAATTTGTAGATAAAATTATCTACGTAAAATCCCCCGGAGTCGGATTCGGAGTACAATATTGATAATTGCATTTTAAGTTTAAACTTACAGGTGACATATTCTTTCAAACAATAAACAGACCTTTTTATATAAATTATCTCAATTACGACGTGAAGAGTTGATATTTATGAATATTATTTTGACTGATATATCTCTGAAAAATGTTCAGGACATATTGCAAAGATTCAAATTAATAAATAAATGATCAGATAATTAATTTAAAAAGACGACTTTAATCCCGTTTTTTACTAGTTATAACTGTAGAAAAAATATAATTTTTAAAAGTGACCTTTAGAAATCCTTGGAGAACTCCAGTTCGTCCCACTTCTCTTTTTTTATCCTAAATATTCATTTAAAGAATGCAATAGTAATCGACATTTTATATAATTTTAAAAATGCATATTGAAATAATGATATAAAATTGTTCCCAATAAGCCTAAAAACAGCTAAACCAAATGAGCCATATATGTATCAATGACACTTAGTGTGTAAAATAAGTTGGCTCTTTAGTTTTGTTTTTTAAGAGTTTTTGGACTCTAAAAGTAAAACCCTCTATTTCTTCCGTCTGTGTACTAAGATCAGTGCAGTACGTACAGCAAGTTTAGTGTAGGGTGTATTATGATTTAATTAAAGGTACCAATACAGGGGACATTAGTTCCAAAACTAACACTTGGCCCATTTTTAACACTGAGTGTTAGAAATGTGCACAAATTGACAGACTGGGTTTTTGAGATCCTAGCCCATTTCCAGAGTAAAATTCGATAATAAAAACTATAACCAAGAATTTATTAAACATGACGAGGACGACAATTCCCAATTTTAAACTTTTTTTAAATCAAAATTATAATCGGACATCTTTTATGTTAAATCTCTTGACCGTTTTCAAGACAATGGTAGGTTTTCCATTTTCGAACATACCCTGAATTTTAAAAATTGTCGCGTTTTCGAGACAAAACCCACTTGCGCGTTTTTGAGTCTAATCCATAATTCAAAACAAACAAACAAAACAAAACAAAAATTATCTTATGAAGAGTTCACTCTTCATAAGATAATAAGACTAAATTAACTTCTGAATTATTTCTGGAATCTAAGTTTCCACATTTTATCTGTTAAATTATAGAATATGGATGATTTTTTTAAACATTTTTCACAAACAGTTTCCCGCATTTCTAGTTAAAACTATATTGTAAGAATAATATTAATATTTTGATTTCTCAATGCTGTAGTGATTTTTAAATTATAAAGGAACAGTTTGTTTTTTATTTCCTATTTTGTTTATATTTTACCTTATCAAAAAATCTTGTTTTGTTTCATAAGTCCGCGTAAATACTTAAAAATTGACATTGATATGAATTCTGGTAATTGTCTCAAAACCAGGATATGTTCCGAAAACGCGATATGAGCTGAAATACCGTAATTGCTTCAAAATAGGGATATGTTCGAAAATGAAATCAATCATCATCAGAAACTAATTCTCACACCTTTTTATTAGTTTAAAATTGAAATTTATTGTTTCAATATATAGTTTTAGTCATTTTTTTAATAAATATATGGTGTAGTTTTGTTCTACTCGTGTTGGATTTAAAGCTATATATATTCTTGAAAAAGATAACTTGAAGATTTTGCCCATTTCTAACACTCAGTGTTAGAAATGGGCCAAGTGTTGGAACTAATATCCCCTGTAATATGAATCAATCACTCTTGATTTCAATATCCATTGTGTCAACTTTTAATCTTTTAAGGAAAAGTACTTGACACAAATTATTCTTTCATTTTTGCATTATACTTAAAATAAATGGCTACAGAACTCAGATCTAATTTAAGCCAAGAACAGGCCGAAGACAGGAAGAAAATATTACATTATTTATCATTTCATCATTATTTAATGCATAAAGTTTTACCTTCTTTTTAGATTTGGGTTTGCCCCAAACAAAGCTTATGATACACAAACAGAGATGGTGGAAAAATACTAGATTTTAACTGACTTTTTTCAATTTTTCAATCCATAGCAAAATGATAGATAATTTTCTGAAAACTTAATCAATTTTTGGAGTAAAAATATCTCTAACTTAATGTAAAGACAGAATTCCTAGAATAGGAAAAACAAAGCTCCAACCACTTCTCCCACTGCAATTGTCATAATTATTATTATTATTATTATTANTGACGGTGAAATATCAAAAGCAAGCAAATTAGAAAGGATACGAGCAGTATTGTTTTATTTAATCAGTACTATATTTCGTTTGAAAAAAATGTTTGAATTGAAAACTTCACAAATCCACCAAATTGTAAAGTTTTTAAAAAGTTTTTATTTAGTTTTATTTATCAACTGATTTAATCCTTCTTTTCTTGAGACTTATATTTAAGTACCTTATATAGGGCTTGGATGAGAAGGGTCGGAGAAGTAGGATTCTATTTTGCCAACATTTTGCAGGGGAAAATTCATCTTTTCTAATATAAAATACTTGAATTCTAACAGATGTTTTTATGTGATTCTGATTCTTACATTTCTATTAAAGCTTTTTAAGGTTTCTAGGATTCTATAAAAGTCTGAAATATAACTATAAGTACTTTCAAAGATTTCTAAGACATAAGTACTATCAAGATTTCTGAGATATAAGTAGTATCAAAGATTTCTGAGATATAAGCACTATCAAAGATTTCTGAGATATAAGTAGTATCAAAGATTTCTGAAATATAAGTTCTTTCAAAGATTTCTGAGATATAAGTATTATCAAAGATTTCTAAAATATAAGTACTTACAAAGATTTCTGAGATTTAAGTAATTTCAAAGATTTTTGAGATATAAGTACTATCAACGATTTCTGAGATATAAGTATTATCAAATATTTCTGAGATATAAGTACTATCAAATATTTCTGAGATATAAGTACTATCAAATATTTCTGAGATATAAGTACTATCAAAGATTTCTGAGATATAAGTACTTTCAAATATTTCTGAATTTCTTGGGAAAGGAATAAATCAGGTTTTTATACCTAATTAAATGCCATTTACAGTTGTCGGAAATCAAAGACGAATAACAAGTCATCTCTTAATTCCCATGTTTATTGAAACACCCTGTACCTGGGGAAGACCATGTTTTTGGAACACCCTGTACCTTGGGAATACCATTTTTATTGGGACACCTTGAACCTGGGAAACACCATGTTTATTGGGACACCCTGTACCTGGGAAGACCAAGTTTATTGGGACACCTTACCTTAGGAAGATCATGTTTATTGGGACACCCTGTACCTGGGGATGGCAATGTTTATTGGGACACCCTGTATACCCGTAAAAGGCCATGCATGTGTATTGGTACACCCTGTACCTGGGAAAGAAGAATAATGAGAGTGTAGATGAGGCGAAGATAAGAACAAGAGCAAGAATAAAGAAAGTTGTAAAAATACAGACTATCAGAATATTAGAACTCTCTGCCAGGGTTCCTGGTTCAGAACACCTAAACAATTTTACTTGTTAACGACAAATATTTTATGGAAGTTTTAACTATTCGATAGCCATTAAATTTGAATGAATGAATGAATGTTTTAATGATTTTAACTTCAAAAAACTCACCATAAGAATTCTGGAGCCAGTAAGGGTATAAATGCTTTTGTTGAATCCTTTGTGAGAGTTGAGAGGAGGAGAAGGATAAGAAGAGGAATACAGGTAGTCAGTAGATACAGCACCCACCATCCTATACTCTCAATATATTCATAGGTTTCAAATATCAGTCGTCTAATCTTTTGCGTGAAGTATCTCTTGATCTCAATATCCATTGTGTCAACTTTTAAACTTTTAAGGAAAAGTACTTCATCCATGACCGCGACGCAAAGAGAAATCAATTTAATCTGTAGAACTTCTGAATCCTGGTATTGTATACCATAAAAGGTCTAGTTTGATGTTTCTACTATTATTAGGAAATCAATTCAATCTGTAGAACTTCTGAATCCTGGTATTTTATACCATAAAAGGTCTAGTTTGATGTTTCTACTATTATTAGGAAATCAATTTAATCTGTAGAACTTCTGAATCCTGGTATTTTATACCACAAAAGGTCTAGTTTGATGTTTCTACTATTATTAGGAAATCAATTTAATCTGTAGAACTTCTGAATCCTGGTATTGTATACCATAAAAGGTCTAGTTTGATGTTTCTACTATTATTAGGAAATGCAGTAAAAGTTATAATAGAAATCTAAATAATAACACTCTCTAAATCATTCTTATCATTTTTTCTTTAAAAAAATGAATCCTGTAGAAATTTTTCATCCAAATTTACAGTTCAACAAAAATTGTAGACTTAAAACATACCAAAAATGTGCAATTTTGAATTTTTTTGCCCGTTTCAAACATGTCATTATAGGAATTGTTAACAGAGAGAAAAAACAACGATTTTCATGTTTTCAGTTTACCTAAAATCTTATTAATAAAAAAACATTTAAAAATTTGATAAAATGGTATAGCAGGGTTATTTTTTCTATTTTTATCACACAAATAGACAATATTTCCCTTTAGGTTTATATTTTTATAGCTTGATTAATATAAATTAATTTCTTTAAAAGTAAGCTACCCCCATGAACGCGATTCTAAATAACAGAAGAATTTTCCCGTCCATCTTTATAAAAATCTATTCAATAATAAAAAAGCATAAAAAATTAAATTTCTATATTTATGTATATTCTCCTGTAGCTGAGAATGACCCAACTCTTCCTTTCACTTCCAATACACTGACTAAACTGGATATCAGTCTGTTAGAACCAAATCATTTTGTACTTTTTCATATTTTGGAATCATTAATTAAGTTTCTGAATTAAATATCTTTGATGATTCTGAGGCCGAATTTTATGAATTTAAACCGCGTCGCTGAACCGCCAATCACCAGTTCAAATTGCGTACCATGGCTCAAATCTCAAAACCCTAATTAGAATTTCAAGTTGAAACAACCATGTTTGAACCGCGTCTCATGTTTGAAACGCATCTAGAGACGCGCGGTTCAAATTCTATAAATTTGGCCTCTGAATTATTAGATAGAGTGAATAAGCATATTTTCCTAATTTGCGTTACTTTAATTCTTATAGTTATCTTTACATGAATACCAAAAATGTACCATTTTCGATTTCATCTTCAATAATTCTGAGGTTTTTGCTCTTCATATGTCTAATGATTCTGAGTTATTAAATTTTGAGCAAAAAGCATAATTTATCTAGTGAACGTTACATTTTTCAAATTTAAAACGTTAAGATTTATGTAAATATTAGACCTGAATAAAGTATTTTAGAAGAATAAAAAGTTATATCAGTTTATTTTACATCAGGGGATATGAGAGCTGATAGTTTATGTATTCAAACTAGAATCAGTTTATTTTACCTCAGGGATATGAGAGCTGATAGTTTATGTATCCAAACTAGAATCAATTTATTTTACCTCAGGGATATGAGAGCTGATAGTTTATGTATCCAAACTAGAATCAGTTTATTTTACCTCAGGAATATGAGAGCTGATAGTTTATGTATCCAAACTAGAATCAGTTTATTTTACCTCAGGGATATGAGAGCTGATAGTTTATGTATCCAAACTAGAATCAGTTTATTTTACCTCAGGAATATGAGAGCTGATAGTTTATGTATCCAAACTAGAATCAGTTTATTTTACCTCAGGAATATGAGAGCTGATAGTTTATGTATCCAAACTAGAATCAGTTTATTTTACCTCAGGGATATGAGAGCTGATAGTTTATGTATCCAAACTAGAATCAGTTTATTTTACCTCAGGGATATGAGAGCTGATAGTTTATGTAACCAAACTAGAATCAGTTTATTTTACCTCAGAGATATGAGAGCTGATAGTTTATGTACCCAAACTAGAATCAGTTTATTTTACCTCAGGGATATTAGAGCTGATAGTTTATGTACCCAAAATAGAATCAGCAGAAATCCTCCAATTTTATACACTGTCTGAAAAGTGAGAAAAAAATTGGTTTTCTAATCCCATTGGACTCAGACAACTTTCAATTCGTACTGAACAGACCCATTGAATCGGTCCAATGCTGTACGGTTACAGGAAACATTTGGTGGGAGGAACATCTTGCGATTTGGCTGTTTTACCAAGCTTTCTAAAGGTCGTCTGTACGTGGATGAAGCTTAGCTTTTTAAAGACATTTTATAATTTTCTTTTTTATCAATTAAAATTCTTTTAAAATACCTCATGTTCCCAAAATACATTGACAACTTCGTCAAATTGACAAGACCTGTATTCTTGAAATCTAAATAAGGAAATTAAGATAAAGTGTCTCAAAAGTTAATCTGAATGTCTTCCTAAAAAAGAACTACAGGGTGTCACAGGAAACATGACATTTGGTGAATAGTTTAGAATGTCTTCTTCCATAATTTGTTCAGGTGTTTGATGATACTAAAGAGAATAATAAAAATATTATGGTAATATTTTTTCAAAGTAAAATATTTATTTCAAAGTAAAATATATTCCAGTAAAAGATTTTGTGAACGAAATAAACTGCAAAAAGCCATTAATATGTAATACAGTAATGGAAGAAGAAATTCAAAACTATTTACCAACTGTCAGGTCCGTAGGAGACCCTGTAGATAGAACCTGAGAGAATAGAATGTGATGTAAAGAAGGATTGAGATAAAACCATCGATAAACATGAGTGCTATAACACGAAAGTAGGTCTGAGGAAGAAATCTGAAGAAAAAAAAAACATAATGATCTTAAGTGATCTTAATACAATATATTGCAACTCTGACATTTTATTGTACCGTGAGAACCAGAAAACTGGAAAAGGAAGACGACGTTACAGCAATATTTAAGGATATACTTGATGTTGTATAAATCAAACAGTTTTACAATTAACTACTCATTAGACCAATTATAAAGTTAATTGTGTCTGTTTACACTGCATAATTGCTATGTCTCATGTTCACTGGACTACATGTGATAGGCGATTATATTAATACAGTACAGACGACTTCCGATTTCAATTTTGATTCAAATCAAGATGTAAAACATCATGGTTACACATAATTATAGAAGTCGAGAGAAGCTATCAATTAAAAAACTTCTTTTTGATAACTAGTAAACTTGTTATTTGAAAAAAACTTGTTAATAATCAAAACTTAAATAAAAAGTCGTCTTCATTGTATTGATATAATCGCATTCCATTAAAGTAATAACTTAAGTCTAAAGTCGTCTTTCTATTCCAGAGTTTACTGGTTCACACTGTACTCATTTGAAAAACTTACTTTTCTGCAAAGTAAAAATGGAATCCAATAGTAGCGCAGGATAGTAAGGAACTAAGAACAAAACATAAGATACTGAGAACTTGTATTGAGACCTGATCAGAACAAGTAAAATCTGTCCAGTCAGAACTTCCATTACTGAAAACATATAAAAAGCATTAATTTCAGAACTTCCATTACAAATGACAAATAAAAAAGGGTTATTTTTCTTAGATTTTAAGGCACTGAAAGCTAAATTTCAAGCGACCCTTTACACAAAGAGGAGATTAAACTCTTGAGTCTTGACTGATCAACGAGGTTAGACATCTGTGTGTGTTTATCTCTAAAAAGTGGTTGAACTGCCGGAAAGCTGGGGTGCACCTATAAGCTTAGAATGTGAACTTGACACAGATGAAGTAAACATATATTCCTTGAAATTCCAGAATATTTTCAGAAATTCGAATGTCGATTTCTATTTTCTGTAACTTCTAGAAAGTAAATATTATATTTCTTATAGATAAAACATCAATATTTCTTAAAGATAAAACAACAATATTTCTTAAAGATAAAATATCAATATTTCTTATAGATAAAACATCAATATTTCTTATAGATAAAACATCAATATTTCTTAAAGATAAAATATCAATACTTCTTAGAGATAAAACATCAATATTTCTTAAAGATAAAATATCAATATTTCTTAAAGCAAAACATCAATATTTCTTAAAGATAAAACAGATTGCAAACAAAGTGTTCAAAAATTTCAAGTATTTCATAAATAATGTTGCTAAATAAGGATAAGTTCGTTATCCTTGAGCAGTCAAAAGTTTAAAGGATACTGCTGTGAATCTAGAAATGATGAGTTACATAAAAGGGTATTTTCCCAAGGCTAATTTCCCAAGTGACAATTTCCCAAGAGGCAAATATCCCAAATGTGCAATTTTCCAAGTGAAAACTTTCCAAAAGTTAGGTTAGGCCTTCTGGGCGCCGTAGGGGGGGGGGAGCGCTGCGGGTAGAACAGGCTAGGAACCGTGCGCTGCGTTCAAGACAGACTTGGGAAGTTGCCGCTTGGGAATTTGCAACTTGGGAAGTTGCCACTTGGGAAATTTCCACTTGAGAAATTGCCACTAGGGAAGTTGCCACTTGAGAAGTAGCCACTTGGGAAGTTGCCACTTGAGAAGTAGCCACTTGGGAAGTTGCCACTTGGGAAGTTACTACTTGAGATGTTGCCACTTGGGAAAACTTCTTTGGGAAAGTACCTAAAATCCTTGAAATTACGCTACATTCAACTAATTTTTGACTTTTATTTGATACCTTGTAGTTGTAGAGCCAACAGAGATTGTGGTGCTATTAGATGCTGTTGATGATGAGGTTTCAGCAGTTTCAGTTGATGAAATAGTAGTTGTTATTGTAGATGTTGTACTAGTTGTTGTTGTTGTTGTTGATGTAGTTTCTGTTGTTAGAACTAAATCGTAATCAAGAGTTCCACCATAGAGTAGTTTTGAATCATACTCTAGCTGGAAGGTACAAGTACAATGGAGAAAACTTTCCTATTAATAATTAAAATAAATATAACTTAACTTATAAAAACTGCTGTATTAATTCGGCTTTATGCCATATCAGGCAACACAATCTATTGCCTACTTGTGTGTAATATAAGTGCTTCATTGATACCCAAGTTTTTTTGGGGGTGTAAGATGAATTCACATAAAAAATAATTTTCATTAAAATTTTTTGAATGGACTCTAAGCGTGATTTCAAGTGAGCCTCCATGCAAAGCGATTTTAAAGCGGTAGAGATAAAATCTTTTTGTGTTTGTCGTATACAGAGATATATGTGTGTAAACTTATCGAAACCCGCTTGTATTCAGCTGCTAATTCCTGTGCGTACAGTCTGAACTCAAGACAGCGCACACCGGAATTAGCAGCTGAATATAACCAAGTTTCGATAAGTTTACACACAAATATCTCTGTACTCGAGGTACCGTTGTAAATCGGGAATTGCCATCTTAATTTGCATAAATAGGGTCACTTGAAATTACACTTACTGTCCCTTTAATTAACGGAAAATTGTCCAGCCAGGGTTAGGTCAGATAAAGAATCTTTATTTTAGAATTCTCAAAAATGTAATTACAATGACCGAAGTTTCGATGCACTTAAAAATGAACGAAATTGTAAGTTTTATTCGTATAAATTAGTGATTTTACTAAAGGTTTTATCATTTGTTAACAGGTTTTTGTTGTTGTAATGGAATTTTTGCCACAAACACTAATTTTCTAATTAGCATATCATTGCTTGTTATTGGTGAAAATCTTTAAAATTTCAAACTTAGATTATTTGATTTAACATAATTCATAGTTTGAAATATCTAAGGTATACGATATTGGGTTGTAAAGTTAAAGGGATTAGAAAATCAAAGTTTGTGGCAAAGGCTCAATTCCTTTTCAAAAAAATTTTCATTATTAAAAGAAGTGTATGAATGAAGAATACCTGTATTTCCTGTGTGCATGCATCCTTGCTCCAGGTCGAGTTGACCTCCCCAGCTGTAAATACGCTGCACGAGGTGGAGTCCAGGGATAGAGTAGAGTCCTTGGCAGAACTTGATAGGTATATATCCATAGATTTTAGCGCAGCGCTTCCTCTCACCTTAGAGAAGTGAATAGCGTCGGTTTCTAAAGATGTTACTCCCCCTTCATTAGTAGCGCTATTGCGGAATGCTGGATTAATGCCTACTCGAAAGAGTACTCCCATATACACTGCATTATCGAGATCACTTGAACCAAAGTCTAATAAAACCCTAGTTTCATTATCGTCTGCAGCAGATGGAAACTGGAAAGACTGGACAGCTGTAAAATTCTGTATTTCCAAGATGAAATTATCTCCTAGAAATGACAATGCCAAGTTATCTAAGTATGCTAAAGCTTTGAGCATCTTAATAATGTCTTCAACTATTTCAGCTCTTGGCGTTGGAATCTCTAACCAAGGTAGATTACAGGAGAATATTTTGTCTAGAAGTGAGTACAGGTTTGGAATATCATTGGTTATTTCTTCCAGCATATTTGTAACCTTAATAGCAACCAATTAATTAGTAAATATACAGTGAGAACCAAGGAGAATTGAATAGAAGAAGGGGGGCGATAGGGTTTCCGTACAATTTGCTGTGACGTTTTTGGACTGCTGAAGAACTAGTTTTTGCGTAACAACAATAATAAAGATTGTAAACAATAACAAAGGCAGCCGATCTAATGTAAACAAACATGAGTTAGGATACGATGAATCTTCATCTAACGCCAGAGGCCAGATGTCTGTTTATCATTTGTGTTATTGTTTACAATCTTTATTATTGTTGTTACGCAAAAACTAGTTCTTCAGCAGTCCAAAAACGTCACAGCAAAGTGTACGGAAACCCTATCGCCCCCTCCTTCTAATCAATTCTCCTTGGTGAGAACTATAGAGCTGTGGAATAGGAAGACGACATTTAAGCAATTTTGTCTGTGTTTAATGTTGTTATGGAAGCAGATAGTTTTACCAGTGGTTTAAAAAATCAACTTGTTAAGTGAAATGCGTCTTAGCACACTGCATAATTGCATGTGTGTCGTGGTCCTTGGACTATTTTGAATCATAAATTGGGTCTAACAGCCATTTTCCTATTCCACAGTTTTATGTCTTTCTCTACAACTTAGAAAAGTAGATAGTCAAAAATTAAAAAATAAAGTAATTAAAAGATTAAATCCTAAAAGAGTTTTAACAGTAATTTGTATAAAGTATTCCCATTTGAAATAAAAAAAAACTATGCTTTTCTCTTTTGAAATTTTTAGTTCTTAACTGTTGTTGCTCTGAAAGTCACCATTTTTAAACATTCTCAAATTTTCGCGGATTTTTATGTTTGAATTGGTGCACAAATTGGTGTCAGATCGGTTCAGCCGTTTTCACGTTTATTGGAGACAGACATGAAAGACAGATATCAAGCAAAGTATATAAACAGAAAAGGAAGAAGAAGAAGAAGAAGAAGAAGAAGAAGAAGAAGAAGAAGAAGAAGAAGAAGAAGAAGAAGAAGAAGAAGAAGAAGAAGAAGAAGAAGACGACCTGTACAAGTTCTCCTCCAACAGGTTCTCTTGTAAGATTAATAAAGATGTCAGCAGCAGTTTCTAAATCCGTCTCCAGCTCAGGATTCCTACAGCCGGAGCGATCTGGTTCAGAGGGATGGAAGTAAGTGTTGTTAATACAGTTCCATTTAGAATCTCCCTGGGATCAAAACAAGATTATATAATTGTAATGATGTTTAAACAAAATCTTTATATAAACACTTATTTCAACAATAAAACTCAACCAAAATCTCCAATTACATCAATACTTAAATCAATTAATTAATGTGGAAGATAAAGTCGTTTGTTTAGCTTGAAAATGTTTGATTATGTTTATTTCTCCTATTGTTTCGTAAGCAACAAAAGCTATGTCACTTTTTTAGGGAAACCACAAATGATCAATTGATCTTGATCAAGATCAAGTAAAGCTTTCAAGGGTATCGTTGTGAATATATACTTATAGTACCTGAAAGTTGAATTTGTTACACTCTTAGTCTTTGCTCACCTCCAGTTTAGGATCAACAAGGCTGCAGGGTTTTTCAACAACCGTATTCTCCGTCAGAATATAGTCTTTGTCAACATCGACAAAATTACTTTTTGGAAAAAATAATGTTCTCAGCTAGAGAAACTAAGATTATTTTGATCGAAAATTGTAAATATGTAAATAAGACATTTTTCTGTAAAACTTTTATGATTTCTAAAAAAATTGGGTGGAAATTTGATGCATTAAATCTTCTGTCATGGTTGTAATATGTAAACTGAAAGATATTATCATTTCTCTGATTAGTTTGGAATGATTTGGCTAAATTTAAAAATAGGACAGGTAGCATCGTTTTTATACTGGGTTGACCATAAAAGATGAGACGATATAGACGACCTAAATCAAACTAAAATTAATTCAATTTGTCTCAGATATCTTATCCTTTGAATCAAAATGAATCAATGCTTCATCAGAACCATATTTTTCCTTTCCTAATTTGTTTATTAGTTGTTGATGTCCAGGTGATATTTCTAGAATCTCTTGCAATACAGGCTCCTGGGGTAAAGAACATTTTTTTGGTTTATTTAGGTACGTAAATAGGCCCGGGGAGGGAGGAAAGGGACTCAGTTTAGCACAAATGTTAATAACGTTTAGCACATTTTAATCAAATGTTAATAACGTTAATAATAAACTTACCAGGATAATTTTTTGTAAATGTATTTTTATTATAATTATTATTAATAATTTAAAACTTTTCAAAGCTATCATAATCTTTTCAACATTTAAGTAAATGAATAGTGAAAATATTGAAGAAAGGAATTGAGTCTTTAGCCATAAACTTTTTTTATAATTTTTATATCTATGCAACCCAATGAAATATCAAAGGTTTACACAATCAGGTTGCAAAGATATAGGGATTAGAAAATTTGAGTTTGTGGCAAAGACTCAACTTCTTTTAGAAAATATGACCATTAGATATTGAAATAATGCTGATAATAGTTATAGAAAATATAAACAGATGTATGAAGTATGTGCTGAGTAAAAATAAAGAAAAATTAAATCAACATAGAATAAACATTAAAATTCTAGGTTTCGGGAAAAATGAGAAAATGTTTTCAGGAAATGACATGAATTGCTGACTAAGATGATAATGATAAAAAAGAAAAATACCATTTCGAGATTTTAAATAATTTTGTTTTCACAATAATGGGAATCGGGACAAATTTATCATTGATGGAATATACGTAGATAACATGACTAGGAGTGTTAATTGTAATATCAACTAAACACTGCAAGGCAAGATGTGTGCAGGCTCTCAGGAAGCAGTATTTTGCCATTATTCCTTCTAATTACTTTAGCTAGAAACAAGCGTAACATTTTTTAAAAGTATATTCCTAGGGCTACAAAAATGTATATGAAAGGCCAAGACACTTTTAAGTCAAGGTTGTCTAAAAATTTGCTGACTAACTTTCAGAGTTGTTTTTATGTCAGTGTAAAATTGTGTCCACGAAATAATAGAAATCGTCACTGAGTTCCATGTTTTCTGAACCACTCTGTAGAGGAAATTGATAAAAATTAAACTTTCCTTTCAAACTTGACGGAAGGATGAAGAGAATAAAAATAAAAATCTCCATGTCAAGTATTATTTCTGAAATATCTTTTTCAACACAAAACTATTCCTTCAAAAGATTACTTTGATTTAATTTGATTCTGAAGCCATGTTCTTGAAAATTTAGTTATTTTTTTTATTTTAATTAAATAACACTCTTTCTCCGACCTTGCGAGGGAGGGAACCCCCGGACGCGTAAGGCAGACATGGTCCTCCCAGATTTGCTAGGCAGACCATGCCTCCCCTTTTCAATATATGCCAAATTTTAAAATTAACCCAACACAAAATAAAATATTTAATTCAGTCTGTTTAAAGTATATTTCACTGATTAATTATTCACTGTGTTTAGAAGTTGTCTATAGGTTTGTTTACTTATGGAGGAGTTAACATATTATCTTTATCACATAGATATATTATAAATATATTTATATATATAATTCATTAGCGTTTGGTAATTCTTATTGTCAAATGTTAATATTTGTCCCAAAAAAATTTTCATTTTTACCACGGGTTTCCACGAAATGACCATAGTGTTTATGCATCTTTTGCGCATGAAGCGCAATAAGTTATGCGCGTTTTTTGCGCAATTTTTTAGATTTCTGAATCTGTGGTATTTCAAATGTTGACTACTTCTAGTAAAATCAAATGATTGAAATATCAAATTCTATGCCCACTGAGAAACAAACAACCCTGAGTTATTATATATCTATACAGCCTCAACTTTGTAGTGTCGCAACCCTGAGTCATTATATATCTATACAGCCTCAACTTTGTAGTGTCGCAACGCCTTTGCTTTTGGTTTTACCTTATAAACTCACTACTCCTTTTTTTCTATGCCGAGTCATATATATTTTAAGAACACTACGCGTCTGTTTCTAGTTTAAGTTTTAAACTGAGTAATTGGCAAAATTGTGCAATGTGCCAGTATGCATCAATTTGCAAAGTAGAGTTTTAGGCAAGTAATCAGTTCCCTTTTCAACTTAAAATAATGCAATCTCATAAGTAACTAATTTAAACAGTTTAAACCTTAAATCAACCTTTTCATGAGAATTAAAACAGTTAGAGGTCTAATTATTTTCATGATCTGAGACCGAATTTAAAGAATTTAAGTCGCAGTTTAAATTAAGCCGCCGCTCAAATATGGTTGGTTCCACTTAAATTTGTATTAAATTTTTCAAGATTTAAGCCGGCGGTCAATTAAAACAGGTTTTTGGGGGATTTCAGACGTGGCTTAAATTCATTAAATTCGGACACTGGTCTTGATATGTTGGACATATATCACACTCCCCTATCTCAACTCTAAGGGTTAAATCATATTTGTATAAGATTAAAATAGCCATTCGGCCGGAATAATGTTAAAATTCCCTAAATTCTCAAATTATTATGTGATAAATGCAAGAAACATGTTTTTACCAATGTAGGCTTTTCAAACTTTAGAAGCGACAAAAGTTTTAGAGATATTTAACATAAAAATAAATTACTGCCTATAGCCTCATGGTACACATTGCAAATTCAATGGGTATAAAGTTACTGCACGCATCTATTCTCAAAATTGTTCATCCATGTTAGGAAGCCTGTACAGAATAAGTCTACTTTTTTAATAGAGAAACCTTTCATATAATTACTTAGGAAATGAGTTTGAATACTTCGTATACAAATACTCTGGGGGAAAAAACATATTTTACAGAACATACCACAGTCTTTTAACCAGAAAAAAACTGTAGAATCTAAAAAATAATCTAAGCTGTGGGGGGGGGGGGGCGAAAAAAGACTTGAAAACAAAGTCATGATTGTGCAAAACATGCTTCAAGCCAAAACTTAATAAAAAAAATTGGACCACAAGCTTTAATGGTTAGGGACGACCAGCCTTTTGACCTTCCCATGTACCCTACTGTGATTACAAAAAAATATCTTATAATAAATTTTTCTTAAGATTCAAGAAGTGTAAGTGTGAAAGTGTCAAAAATGAGTGTTATTAAACCCGTACATAGTTTAACCCAGAGAGAGCTATTTTTTTATAGCCATTTAAACTTTACATTTGCCTAAACAGGGTTAAAAATTAATATGTTGATAGAGTCTACAAAATCATGCAAATCAACTTCAAAAGTATGTGCAGAGGCGACAGGAAGACGTTTTCTTAGACGATTTTTTATAATCAACGGTGGAAAACCCGAGATAGAATATTGTTTATTTATGAAGATTCATGTTTTTAGATATGCGTGGTTCATATTTAATTAAAACTAGAAATAATTATTTTCTAAAGAATCAATTAACTAAATTTCATGAACTTTATAAATTATAAAAATCACATTTACATAGATTAACAAAAGAGGGATGAAAAAATAAATATCTTTAAATCGAGAAACAGACAACAAGGAAACAGACAACAAGAGGATCAGACAACAAGAGAAACAGACAACAAGAAAACAGACAACAAATAAACAGACAACAAGGAAACAGACAATAAGAGAAACAGACGACAAAAAAACAGACAACAGAGAAACAGAAAACAAGGAAACAGACAACAAGGAAACAGACAACAAGGAAACAGACAACAAGGAAATAGACAACAAGGAAACAGACAACAAGAAAACAGACAACAAATAAACAGACAACAAGGAAACAGACAATAAGAGAAACAGACGACAAAAAACAGACAACAGAGAAACAGAAAACAAGAGAAACAGAAAACAAGAGAAGCAAATAACAAGATAAACAGACAACAAGAGAAACAGACAACAAGAGAAACAGACAACAAGAGAAACAAATAACAAGAGAAACTGACAACAAGAGAAACTGACAACAAGAGAAACTGACAACAAGAGAAACTGACAACAAGAGAAACTGACAACAAGAGAAACTGACAACAAGAGAAACAGACAACAAGAAAAACATGCAACGAGATGAACAGACAAGAATAATAACAGACAACCAGAGAAAAGAAAAAGATAAACAGATAAAAAGAAAAACATAAAACATGATGTTAAATCATTCATCTGTCTGTGTATTTTTCTGTTTATTAATCTATCTGTGTGGTTAAACATCTATCTGTGTTTAGTCTGTGTATACATATAGAGTTGTTAGCTCAAATCTGTATATATTTGTATGTTTTTACATCTATCTATCTCTGTATCTATCTATCCTCATATAGTTTATAAAAAAGCTCTGAATGTGCGAGATTTCACAGTGTTTTCGGAGACTGAGAGAGAGAAACACTCTAAACTGAATCTCACTGTTACAACAGTTTCTTAAAAAATAAAAAAAAAAATAAAAATGGCACCAAACAGTCCCTCTGTCTTCATAGCCTCCCCTCCAGGTGAATACTCGTTTAAAAACTCTCTTTTTTGTCAGTGGATTTCTTAAAGAAAAAGAAAAGATGACAAATCTGGTTATAGGTCACATGTAGATATAGGAAAATATAAAAATTCTTAAAACAGTAAATATTAAATTTTACCATTAGAACACTTTTACCTAAAAAAAAGTAGCGACTTATTCTATGAAAAAAAAAGAATCTTTGTAAGCTAATTTGTTAATGATGTTAAGTATAAATATAAATTGTGAAACAAACTCCACCCCCCCCTTCCGGCCCCCATTCCTACCATGCATTATTAATTGCAGCTACTGTTTTTCAACTTAATTCTAACACAGTTTTGTTTAAAAGTCACGAATAGGCTTATCAGAAATTTCGTTTTTGAGTTGGATTCATGTAAGCGCTCATTTATGAAGAACTTGCTGAAGGGCCCGACGTGGCCCGTAAAATAAAAAAATAAAATTTGAAAAAAGCGCAAAAAATAATAAAATAAAAATAGGAGTTCCTTGGGGGGCAAAATTTAAACTGTAAATTCAAAACATTTGGCTTCTTGGATACTTCAAAGGTACATATACAGTCCAACTACCTTGCAAGTACTACTTTTTCTTTTCTTCAAGCAAAAATAGCAACAACAAAAAAACAGCAAATAAATTCTTTTATGCTCTTCACTCTTCAGTTCTTATTTCAAATTATTAATTTCAAATTTACAAAAACTTTAGTTTGTACTAAAAAATAGGCTTGTCCCAAAATTATTGAAGCTTTTTTTCAAAATTATATCAAGCAATTTAGCAATTTTAAGTTAATTAGGTCTATAATAGAACCAAATTTACAATCTATAAAAAATTGCAAAAATCGCAAAGTTGCAAAATTGCATCCCTATACTTTACTTTACTGTGTATATTTTCAAATATAAATTCCCAGAGAGATTGTTGATAAATATTTCTTGCAAAAAGGAAAAGTTTGCACAATTTTTCTGCTAACATTGTAAACTTTAACGTACGATCAGAATAGGTTAGACAAGAGGAAAAAGTGCAAAAAATGCGTCAGAAAAATTGCAAATGCGCCAAGTGAAGAGATTGTGTTCTGTACATCATCAGTGGGAGAACTATTTTTTAATTAAAAAGATAATTTTAAAAGCTTTTTTTAAATGCATCATAAGAAAACAGCCGGGAATGAAATGCATGATGCATGCTTAGATATTTAAACAGCGCCCTGTCATTAATTCATCATGCATCATAAGAAACCCATCGTATCGTAGTTTTCTTGAAAATAATAAATAATATTAATTCAAAATAAATTGAAACTCGGATTACTATTGGACCTGTTAAAGGGACTGTAAGACTAATTTCAAGTAAAGAGATAGAATGCCTTTTTGAAATCTTTATCTGATCCATAATGTGGAAGATAATATCGTTTTTCTGAGTTTAAAAGTGTTTAATTCTGTTAATTAAATAGTTACCTGTGTGAATATGGCCATCTTCGCATTCGAATCTAAAAACATATTAAAGTTTGAACACAGCTTTTCTGATATAATTAAAGCTATTTAAGAAATATAATTAAATTCCAAATAGAATTAACGCGACCAATCTAATGTTGTTAGCTCGTGTTTAATAAATGTCCCTCAAACCTTATGATCTATGCAAACCTAATGATTAGTGCATTGTTGTTGTTGTTACTATCCAAGCCTGAGAATAATGTTTTAAAAAGAAAGCACAAATATTCAACAATTCCTGACGCACATTCTTTTTTTTCGTGCATACTTTCATAGGTCAATAGGGGGGAGGGAGGGGGGGTGTTAATTTGTTTTATAAATCGTTAAACCGTTTTTATAATTTTTTATAAAACTTTTCAGATTTTACAACTGTAGAATGGAGTGTTAAAGTTTGCTTTATTAAACTTTGCAGAGCGTATCTTTATCATAAAAAGAAAATAATTACAACACGTTAGTTTTTGCATCGTTTTTATATCGTTTTTGCATCGTTTTTGTACCGTTTTTGCATAGTTTTTGTACCGTTTTTGCATAGTTTTTGCATAGTTTTTGCATCGTTTTTTGGATCGTTTTTGGCATATATTTTCTTTCAGATACCTAGTGTAAGAAAAGCAAAAATGTTTAACATAAACGTTTTTGATAAGATTAAATTATGCTAAATATTGATCCTGTAAGAAAATACAGGGATCATGAACTACCCCAAAACGTAACAACTGTAGGCACATCACAGGGGGGGTAGTAAAAACTTTGTATAATAAATTAAGATTGTTTCAATTTTAAAGGTTTAAAGGTTTAAAGGTTAAAGGGTTGGGATTTGTTTAAAAACGATCTAAAGTTCAATTTTAAAATATGGATATTGTTTTACTAGTAAACCAAATTTGTATTTAACATAATTTGTATTTAACATTTTTAAACTCATTTTTAAACTCACCTTACACTAAGCATGTGTTTCTTTCTTCAGAAAAAAACGAAATTAATTTCAAGATAAAAAAGAACATAAGGATAGAACTTACCTTAAGATCGGTATTCTAAAGAGTTTCAGGTCGTCATTAAAGACTCATATTTTGTGGGTAACCCTGTACAGTGTGCAAAATGTGTGTCTTTTTATAAGTTAACACTGATGTAACCCAGCATCCTGAATCCTATGACCAGATTTCATGTATAACATTACATAGTTGAACCGCTTAGGACTAAGTTAAACCACTTCTTTTGTGCGACAAGTCAAGCAAAAAAGAGGTGGTTTAACTTGGTCTACGCGGTTCAACTATGCCTCACTATTCATTTGTTTTTCCTGATTATGCAATTACATGATGTATAGCTACTTAAAAGTTTATTAAGTCTAAAAAGTTTATTTTTAAATTTAACTTTCCAACGGTTTATCACCTTTTTCGTGATTTTCCATTGTAGTAAGCCGTAAATTCTCTAAAGTGGAATAACCAGTCACTATATTTACTTAGAATTAACAAAAATATAGCTTTCTGATTTTGCATCGTAACCTCTCCAAAATTCAATAACAAATGACTTTTTACCTATGACGAAACTTATCTTTAAACTTTAATAAAAAAAAAAGTTAAAAGATTTAAGATTTAATCACTTATCTCATGAATTTGAATTGTTACTTATCCAAAGTTTAGCAACAAATGCCTATTTACCTATAGATATCATATAACTTATTCCATAACTTCATTCACCCTATTTGAACCACCGATTCAAAGTTAAAGATTAAGGAAGGATTTGAATCGGTGATTCAAATTTGAACCGGCGGTATAACAGTTCGAATTGATTAAATTTGGTATGACGCCGAGTAGTAGAAAGTTTTCAAAACTAAGTTGCTAAGAAAAATGATGATTTTTCATATAACTATAGGAATTAAGCTTTAAAGATTAAAACAAAGTCCTAAAAAAGTGCTCTGTAAAAATCTGTAAAAATCTTTAGTTCAAAGAAAAAGCTATTTTGGCATGTACGAAAGAAAAACAAATAATCCAGCTCGTTAAAGAATTAGAAATTAACCTATTTTAATTGTATATACTATACTTGTTTTTGTCTTATCATATTGTACCATTTTACCTTTGTGTACGAAATAAATCTATAATAAGTAGCTTGGGTTACAAAAAGTTACTTTCACCATTTACCCGCACTTAAACTAAACGATTTTACCGGGAAACTAAATTTTCGCTATTTCAGTCTCAACTTAGAGCTAAAACCATTCCTGTGGGTCTCCAGAGTTCTCCAATAAAAATGTTAGGCAAATTGGTCCCGGGGTTCCTGAGTTTTCATCGGACAAACAAACACCCAAACAGAGATTATATATGTAGAGACAGCCTTTTTTACCCATTTAATGCAATTAGACTGTTCCTTTAAGACTATAATTGACGTGTACGTAGAAATTTTTTTTTCAAATTCAAAAGTAGTCTTAGTTCAAGTAAGTCAGTTGATTTTCTAAAAGATCAAAAAAAATCTTTTCCGTTCTATTCAAAAATATATTACGAAATACCTCTGCTTTAGGGTTAATATGTGCATATAACATTGTTGTCGGATAGGAACAAGATTCTCAATAATGAACAGATAGACAATGGAATAACCCTTAAATCAAAACCGATAATGCAGGAAACTCTTTATTTCCTAAAAAAATGAAATGGATAATAATGCATGAATTTGTTACAAAGTTATATAATTTTACAATGAAAAGGTTCTTCCGATCTATTTAGGGATAAGAAGGTTAAACTGTCAGGGAGTCCTAAGTCGCTTTTATGTATTAAAACTTCTGAAAAGAATGACAATTGTTAACGAAATTCCCTAATTCTTTATATGAAAATATTTTGTTCACAATAATAAAAGTGTTTAGGCCCCGTCACCGGAGGACAAAGAAAATGGGGCGAAAATTATTTGGTTTGGTGTCTCCGAGAGGGGATTTTAAGTTAAAGACGACATTACATGAATGGGCGGGGGGGTCTTGTAGTTAATGGTTGACAAATATGTTACACACCTTTAACAATATACTTTCTTTCATGTTCTTATACAAGCTGTAAATATACTTTCTTCCATGTTCTTATACCAGCTGTAAATATACTTTCTTTCATGTTCTTATACCAGCTGTAAATATACTTTCTTTCATGTTCTTATACCAGCTGTATATGTGTCAGCTATATAAATTAAATGCACATTTACAGAAACAAAGGAGAATACATGATAGATCGTAAATACATAAAAAAAATTAAAATATTTATCTCCCTGCAGTGCACCTGTATATCCAACTAACACACTTGAAATATTATAAATATAGTCCAATCAGTTTACAGAAAAATAGGGTTCAAGCAACAGTGAAATAGTTTGTTACAAATCTTTTAAACCTATTGCTTAAGAAAATCTATTTTGGTTGTGTTATTTTTTTTACTGGAATTTTCACTTATTTATGTTTGCCAGAGTTTAAATTCAAGTTATTTAATTTCTTGAATTCAAATCGAAAACGTAGTCAAGAATAAACAGTTTTAAGAAAAAAAGACACATTGTGGTTTAACGAATAGAATTTGTTCGATTAGATCAGATTTGGATAACTTTTACAATTCTTGATTACTTTGCATACAAATTTTATTTATTAATTTAAGACATATTTATCTTTTTTTACGATTAACTTCTTAGTCTAATTTCAAAATAAACTGAAATAATTTATTTGCTGGGAGCAAATAAGAGACTTATTATATTTTATGAATCTTGACAATGCATCTAAAGTATGCGGGCTGAAAATTTGTTAAAAATAAACCTAAAAATTGCATTGTTTTAATGGAAGAAAAAATAGATTTTTGTTTAAGATTGGTTTTGAAAATTATAAAAAATATGAGAATAAGGTTAAAAAGAATGTTTAGAAGATTTCGCTTGCTTGATATGGAGGCAGAAGGTGAAATTTTATCATTTTCAAATATTTAAAGAATATAAAATGTTTAATTTGTTAAAATTAAGGTATTTATTTAATATATCTCAGCTAAATCGTGAATTTCTACAGTTGAGAGTTAGACACAGATTTGTCCTTAATGTCGTAATTCTAACTTTATTTAAAAAATAATATTGAAGATAACATCATTTTTCTGACTTGAAAAGTGTTTGATTCTGATAATTTCTTAATTGTTTCTGAATAAATAAATGCGGAAGTAGCTTTTGTAGAGAAAGCTCATTTATAAAAATAACCAGTTTTCAAAAACAAAAACATGGACATCTAATCCATGCTTGATCAGAGCTGGGAACTTTTGAATGGTATATATCGGGATTAATGCTTGATCGACTCTTTTTCTTAATCTCCAGAATAAATAATGCTTGTTCTCCTCTTGTTATTAATCTCCAGATTAATTAACCGATCGGGATTAAGGATATCTAATTCTAAAGTTTCCAGCTCAGACAGAACTAGAATACCGTTGGGAATCGTACATGTCACTCCATCAACTTGAAATTACGTTTATAGTCCCTTTAAGTATACATTGAAAACAAATTGTTGTATGGTACAATGTCCTGTATAGGATTATGAAAAGCGAAAATTAAGTTTTAAGTTGCTCGTATAAGATCTAGATCTTAGTAAAGTAAACTCTTTTAACCAGTTGATGTAAACAAAAACATTTCTCCATAATTCCAATAATGCTTGATATCTTTTATAAAATAATTCATCATCACTAATATGAATCATTTATAAAATTATGAAATTTAAAATGTACTAGGCTACCAGGGCGCCCATCTTCTTTTTAAATTGTGAACATTTTCTCTTTGTATACATTGTAAAAATATAACAAAAGAAGTTTACGGATATGAGAAAAAAATTCGTGGATTTTTAGAAATTAATAAAATTAGAATTTTTTCGGTTCAGCCGTTCTGACGTTTATTGGATACAAACAAGCAAACAGACAAGCAAAGTATATAGAGATGTAGATATTTTAAACCCGAAAAATATATCTATCTATCTAATACACATTAAATATTCATTGACCAAAAAATAAATTTTCCAAAAAAGTTGTATTATTTTTGTTTTTTCCATCCAGGGGAAATAGATTTTTTTTGTAGGATTTCAAATCAATTTCCTCTCCATTTTAGTTCAAATTATAAACGTAAAAACAATCGAAGTCGTAAACAATTATCTTCAGATTTTATTTTGTTATTTTGTCTTTCATTTCATACAATCATTGTAATTATTTCTCTTCCTTCCGTTGGTTCATTCGTTCGCTTTAGTCCTCCATCTTCCTTACTTCCTCAATCATTAGTCATTCATTTTGTCCACATCATTTCATTGTCTTGCTGTAAAATTATGATTTTAATTGATGACATTGATTTGTTTTTGTCAGTGAATGATTACAACAATAATAATAATATGAATGAGAAAATGAAATAAAGTTTAAAATAATATTTCGATTAGATATAGATATTATGCCCAATGCCCATATTGCAAATAAAAGTTTACAATTAGGGGGAGGGGAGTGCAGAAAGAAAGATCGAATGTGTGAGAAAATAACCCTGAAAGTTGTCATCATAAAAAAAATGTTCCCCCCCCCCCCCCAGCTACATCCTAATTTTAACTGGTTCAACAGTTTCGAACTACAATATATGTTAAAGATAGGATTCGTGAAAATTACGTAATAAAGATAAAATATTTAAGTGCTGCTACCTGGACATGGAGAGAAAATCGAGATGAACAGCCTGGCTGGCTCACACACATCACAGGTCAGCTTACGCCAAACTAATTACAGATAAATATGTCCTGGTGGTATTGACACACATTTTGTTAAGTTTTTACCCATCATTTAAAGCCCATGAAATTAGCTTAATGAACAGCTTATATGCTTGAAATTCAAAACTAGCAGGCTTAGGAACAAAATCTTATTAAAATATTAAGTTTTAACAATAAATTTTGACAGATGAATCAGGGGGCGCAGTGGGCTATTTTATGTGGTCATTGGGGGGTGACTGGTTTTTGTTATCATACTCCTCTTAAAATGCATTTGTCTAGTGTTTCATGATGAGAATGGACAAAATGAATATATTCTGATAATCTTTTCATTTACAAACATTGTATCAATTATTATAAATAATTAGCTTTCTCGGGGATATTATCGTTTTCAGATTGGTTGCTTATTTGCTGAATTTGATCTATTTAAAACCACTACTTTTATGCAAAATTGTATATATATTAATTTTCGTATAAATTTGACACAGTTGTAAATCAATTTCTCGAGATAGGAACATCAGATAAAACTTTCATGGGTCGCAATCGAGAGCTAAAGTGATTAGCTTTCAGTCTATACCCCCTTTCATTTTTCCTGTACTGTCCCTTTAATGTTTTTGTGAAATTTTTGGAATTTTCTCCAATTCTAAAAATATTTAGGCAGTTAAGGGTGGTCTGGGAATAGCAACAGCGGCTATTTTTCTTGCTGGGGAAATGGCTGGAAGTGGAGTGTTGGCTTTACCATATGCTCTTCTTGGGACAGGTCACTTATTACAATTAAGTACTTTTCAAGTCATTTTATATAAGAAGTCTTTTATCTTCAGATTTTATTTTGTTATTTTGTCTTTCATTTCATACAATCATTGTAATTATTTCTCTTCCTTCCGTTGGTTCATTCCTTCTCTTTAGTCCTCCATCTTCCTTACTTCCTCAATCATTAGTCATTCATTTTGTCCACATCATTTCATTGTCTTTTTAGTTTCATTGGCTTTGGTCTTTATTCATCTTGCAATCTTTACTTTTAACCTGATACTAAAATAATCTTTTAAGAATTGATAATTTATTGTTTATTTTTTTCCGTTTGTTGTTGAAAACATGCTAAAACGTGTTATATTTATGTAAACATTAATCGATGTGATGACATATTTAGATTCTGAAAAATAATATTAATTAATCAAAATTACATTCATAAAAAGATTATGTTATGATTGAAGTTGAATCGAGAATTGGGAAACTTGTTTTAGAAATCTGTGGGTTTTCATAACATTAATCTATGAAAATCAATTAGAAAGTGCAACTGCAGGTTGGACCAGTAATATAAACAATGTACTGCAGATTGGACCAGTAATATAAACAATGTACTGCAGATTGGACCAGTAATATAAAAAGTGTACTGCAGGTTGGACCAGTAAAGTAAAAAAGTATATTTCAGGTTGGACCAGTAAAGTAAAAAAGTGTACTGAAGGTTGGAATAGTTACTGCAGATTGGACCAGTAATATAAAAAGTGTACTGCAGGTTGGACCAGTAAAGTAAAAAGGTGTACTGCAGGTTGGACCAGTTATATAAATAGCGTACTGCAGGTTGGACCAGTAATATAAAAAGTGTACTGCAGGTTGGACCAGTAATATAAAAAGTGTACTGCAGGTTGGACCAGTAATATAAAAAGTGTACTGCAGGTTGGACCGGTTTGTTTCTGATAGCAATGTTCACTGTGAACTCTCTATTCTCTGGGACAAGGTTGGGACTTTGCTGGGTTATGCTGGAGGAGAGATATGAGGAGTTTAGGGGACATGTAAGTTTATTCTCGTGCTAAATCATTACATTTGTTACCACCATTTGCCCAACATTGCCGGCATATTATTCCCCAAACAGAGGGACATAAAATTAATTAACGACCCATGGGACATTGAGTAAAATAACGACAACCTCTGCAAAAGCATGATAAAAGCCTGTTTTTTTATCTCAAAAGGTGATAAAGTTGTGTAAAACTACCTTTTCAGGAAATTAAAAATTTCACTAAAACACAGTTTCCGTCTTGGGAACCCTTGGTAAAGTAAAATTCCTATTACTAATATTAAATTTCATGTTTCTCCAATAAAACAAAAAAAGGTTCACACAAAAAATACCACTTTGCACCTTATAATTTTTCATATATCTTTTTAAAAAGTCATTATTATCATAATTTGTATTCATTATGTGAATAGGTCCGAGATCCTTATCCTTGTATTGGAGAGAAAGCTGTCGGAAGATGGGGACGAATTGTCTCATTGGTCGCCATTTGTATTACCCTGTACGGCGGAGGTTGTGTGTTTATTGTTTTAATAGCACAGGTAAACACGTGGTCAGGCGCCATCTTGTTTTACACAAAATTTGTACTTTTTCTCTTTTCCATTTTATTGTTATTTGTTTTAAGTTTTCTTGAATGAACCCTGTTGAAGGATATCTGCAAAGATTTGATAGAGTCTGACCTTTGATTCTGAGATATTTATTAATAATGGCTTTTTAATTCTTGTCTGTCAATTCAGAATTTAACCAAAAAAAAATATATTCATAAAAATAAATAATATTGGTGAGAAACACCTTTCTTTCGACATAAAAACATTTCAACTTCCTAATGCATTAAAGATGAAAAATAATGTTGGAGAATTTAAACAACACAGTAGCTTATTCAATTTTGTGTTCAGTTGTTGGGTTCCCTGGTTGGGTCTGCTGGGTTCCATTTAACTCTATGCACCTGGATGGTAATTGTGGCAGTTTGTCTTATTCCTCTCACCTGGGCAGGAACACCTAAGGTAGGCTGGGGTTATTTCAAAACAAAGGGAACTATTTTTTGTCAATTGTGGAAGTGGGGCCACTGGCCATCTCTGAATCGCTAAATACCGTGAACTGCTTGATTTTTTTTGGAAACAAAACAAAGTTTCATTTTCTAATTGCATTTTTAATCTTGGGGTTTCAAATACAAAATTGAAAATTTGAGAATTCCTTGGACCTTTGGAAAAAATTTTATATGAATTTGAATTTTTTTTCAATTTAAAACTAATTTGAATGCAACATACCTAATTCTTGTTTTAGAGCTTAAAAAGCTTGAAATGTAGAAATCTTGAAGTGTTTCAAATCAGTTAGAATTGCAAAGAAACTGAATTTTTGCCACAAACTTCCTAATTCCTATATCTTTGCAACCCGAAAGAGTAAACCTTTAATATTTCAAACTTAGACTATTTGATATATGAATAAAACTTCTAGATATGGGATAAAAATGTTTACGTTTTGTGATATTTATGCCCGCAACCTAGAATTAACAGAGTTACAAATACACGCTTCCATGTTTCAGGACTTTTGGCCTATTGCTGTTGGTGCACTCCTAACTACAGTAACAGCCTGTATCATTATTATAATCAAGGTATTATATTAAGGTGCCTCCCAAACAGATGTGGTAGAACTTGTGTCCAAATTAAATGAATCTAAGCTGTGTCTCAAATCCCCCAAAAACCGGTTTCCATTCAGCGCCGGTTTAAATCTTTAAAAATTCATATATTTGAGCCGTGGCTTAAATTTAAGCCGCGGCATAAATTCTTTAAATTCGGCCTCTGGCTAATTATAATTTTATTTATGCGGCGGACCATTCGTACTTTAATCTATGAATATTTTTTCTAATTTTCAAAATATGCTTGATTAATCTAAACCGAGCTTTTTCGATTTAATTTCAAATATCCATCGAATGTAAATCTGGAGACCAATCACAAGCAATAATCAGAGACAAATTTTTGCCTTTACTACATTTTAATATTTCTTGGGACACCTGGTTTACGTAAAGAACATATCATCATGTAAAGGTCGTTTTTTAAATAAATTTTTGTAATTTGAATTTCTTTTATAAAGTGGATTGTCACCTCTATCGCTAAAAGAGTTTTCTAATTAAAGGGAGTGACCGGCTATGTAAAGTAGTTGAACTGAGTATACATTGTTGTTGAAAACTTCTTTCGGATTCATTTGAGACATATAAAACTTTTTAAAGATCTGTAAATCCTGAGTTTGAGCGCAAATTCGACGTTCAAAACTCCTACTTTGGGGGTGGATACGTTTTTAGAATTAGTTTTGTTTTAATCATTAAATAACGACAACGAAAAATAAAGTAAAAATTATACAGTAATCTGATTAGATGGTTAGGAACATATTTCTCAAAAGAAATTTGTCAATAAATCAATGCTAAAATCGATTATTTCGTTTTCATTATTATATTGAATTTCTAATTTTCTTTGAATTTATTCGCAGATTTCTTCAAATTCTTCAAATGTCGTCTTTTCAATAATAATTCTAGAAAATCTGCTAAAACTTTGTGAATAATGAGAAACCAGGAAAATGAGATTATAGAAACTAATAATTGAAAAAATTACTTATTTTCGATGATAAGATTAATTTTTATTTTCTCAAAATGTTCCTATACATGACGTCTGTAGTTTATTGTAGAACTTCTTTACATTTTATGTCGTCGTTATTTAATAATTTAAAAAAAAACTAATTCTGAAAACGTATCTACCCCGAAAGTAGCAGTTTTGAACATCGAATTAATTGCGCTCAAGCTCAGAATTTACAGATCTTTAAAAAGTTTAATATGTCTCAAATGAATCCGAAAGAAGCTTTACAGATCACTGTATACTCAGTTCAACTACCTTACATAGCCCTTTAAGAGGAAAATTATAAATTGATAATAAAATCGTGGTTTCTCAATAGTCACGTGCGTATTTCTGCTATCTCACCAGAGCCCGCGATTTAAAAAATTCAAGAAAATACGGCTTAGGACTAAGCTGCCATTGGGTCTTATTTACGGCTATAGCTTTCGGATTAAAGTTGCATCTAATTTTCCACTCAGTTTAGTTCATAAAACCGGTTTAATATTGTATTACACGTATTTTCATGGTTGGAATTGGCGCATTACGGGTTTTTATGAAAAAATTTCGCATTTTGGGTTTTGTTAAGAGCAAGACTCAACATTGAGTCTTATTCTCCACTAACACCGACAAAGGTCAGTTTTATTTTCATTGGGCCTATAACTCCTTAAGTCTAGCCTAAGATCTCGAATCTGTCAATCATTCACGCGACACGAGCTGTAATTAGAATTGGGTCTTAGATTGGGTTTTAAAGCTGGACTTAAGGAATTGCGGCTCGAGCCGAAAGCTTTTAAATCGCGAGCTCAGTAAATGCTTTAAGCTGAGAAAAACTGTTGTGAATCTGACATTACCCTCTGTAAACTACTTGAAATTTAATCGACAGTTCCTTTAAGGTTGTGATTGACGGGAATGAATTAGAGCAAAAAGTTTATCCTCCACCAACCTTCCAGGGGTTTCTTAAAGGTAACATTTAACCAAATATGAAATCATTAAAAACATCAAAAAGTCTTTTGTTTTAGATTAATGGTACTTTTCTTTAAAGATTATTTTGAATATAAAAAATCATTTCCTCTCTGTATATTTATAAAATTATGATAAATCCATAAGACAATTATTAGAGAACGTAATTCTAAGTTGACCCTTTTGTTAAAAAGTTACCATGCCTGATTAAAATATTAATATATCTTAATCCTCTTTTTCAGCTAAATTAATGAGAATCTTCTTGTTGTTCTTTTTTAAAAGTAGATAATTGTTAATTGCGAGATCGCCATAAAAACAGAACTGGTGGATTTGTGCAGCAGAGAAAAGAAATTAAATAGATGATCTAAGATAAAGTTTACAATTGTGTATATCAAACATGTTTTTAAAGGGCCACTTCAGATGACGTTGACAGTCCCTTTAAATTTTAATAAAATATTTCAGCCTTTGGTTCGATAATGTTTGCATTTGCTGGTGCTTCCACCTTCCCGACTATTCAAGCTGATATGAAGAACAGAAGCCAATTCAACTACGCGGCAGTTATAGCTATTCTCAGTAAGCATTTCCTGTTTTAAGTCATATTTTAAGCAGCAGTATGTTTTTCTTTACTATGTATAGTCAAATTCTTGTTCTTCTCTATTTGTTGGCAAACTCCTGTGGAAATCTATGAAAATTTATGGCTTTATGAGAAGTAGTGTGTTGTGATATTGTGATTACTCTTCAGAACATTTATGTTTTATAAAATACTAGTTTATGCGAAGAAATACAACCAACATTACTTAATATTTTTAAATCAATATCCAAGAACATCCCAGTGGTTTTATCAAGTTCCCCTATCACAATTGAGGCAAACTGGTCAAAAAATGCATGAGTTATGATCGGACATCCAAAAATAGACAAGATCTTCACTTATTTAATAAGTAAGAAGCAATATTCGTTTAAAAAATTACAAATAGAAATTACGTTCTTATGATGTTTTTTTAACGTTCTTTATATATAATAATAGTTCTTGAAAAAACAACTTCTTTTCTCCTTTTTTTACCATTTATTGGTTGAATATTGTTTCTTGCTTGATTATACAATATTTTGTAATACATTTATGAAAATCCTTGGTTATAAGGAGTGCATAAGAAAGCGAAATGTGGGGGGGGGGTTCGGGAGCAGAGCCCCCCCCCTTCCCTTTAAAATTGTAGGAAATGGGAGGGGGACACATTTCTATAACTTAGTTTATCTTTTAGTTTTGTTCCTAATCTACTTCCCAATGGCTGCTGGAGGATATTTTGCCCTGGGTGAGCTGGTTCAGGACAATATAGTTCTCTCCATGTCTGACGGGTGGGAGAGGGTGGTGGTGGAGATCATGCTTCTCCTTCATCTCGTCTCAGCATTCCCGATCATCACCAACCCACCAGCTCAGATCTTCGAGGAGATACTCAGCATTCCTTCAGGTGGAATATCCTTTATGGTTTAGAAGATGTCAACACAGTACCGTTAAAAGCTTTGTCTGATCAAATATATATCAATGTTTATAATTTTGAAAACTGATTCTGTTTAATTGTGGTTTCTCTAAAAAGTGACTTGCGCATTTCTACTGCAGGAAAGCATATAGGAATTATCAGAATTAGATACTTTTAACCCTACAGAAAAACGACAAAATCTTGACCATTATTAAACATAAAAAGGTTTCAAGTGTACCTTTGTGAATTGGACATGAAGGGTCACTTAAGATCACGGTTCCAGTATGTATGTCGCACATTTGTGCGTCCTCAATAGACCGTTCTCAAAGTGCGGTCTCGTGTTGTGCGTCCTTATTTGATGATGTTAGAAAACTATCCTACCTAATGCAGCACAACTGTGACCAAACTTTGTTTAGATTTTAACTGGAAACGTTGTGTATTCCGATCCATCAGCGTTCTCATTCTTCTCTTCGTAGCGGAGTCTGTTCCCAGCTTCGGGGCCATCCTAAACCTCGTCGGAGCCTCCACAGTCACCCTCCTCACCTTCGTCTTCCCCCCCTTCTTCTACATGAAGATTGCAGACGCTACCATTGGGGTCAAGGGAGTTCCTGAGAGGTAGGAATCCATTGTTGAATTGAGTGTTTATGATTTTAAAAGATGTCCAGGTTGAATCAATGCTTGTATATTATTTGAAAACACCATCTGATCTGTTCTTGAAATAATTCAATTTTGTTCATTTCTCCTAAATAAATCTACGAAGTACTCTATACTATTCTTAAATGCTATACTATTCTTAAATGCTATACTATTCTTAAATTCTATACTATTCTTAAATTCTATACTATTCTTAAATTCTATACTATTCTTAAATTCTATACTATTCTTAAATTCTATACTATTCTTAAATTCTATACTATTCTTAAATTCTATACTATTCTTAAATTCTATACTATTCTTTAATTCTATTCTATTTTTACTGTATGCAAAATGCCTGACATTATTGACATACAGGGCTACCTACAAAGGATGAGACATCAGAGAATTCAGTTTAAAACGTCTGTTTCCTTATACAAATAATTTCCTGCAACTGTTAACTGGTTTTTTTCATTAAATCATTAAATAATCTATTAAAAGACAATATTTAAGGCAGAAGACTTTAAGTAACCTTGAATTTGTCATATTTGAAGAGTTTTCAGGTTGTCTTAACAGTCTTTTGTGGGTAACCCTGTATTTACGCTTCTTCATAAAGGGAGTTTTCGCAAAAAATGGAGAGAAAAAACCTTTTATTTTTCGTAAACACTCTCCTTTAAAATTGGTAACACTTTTGCAAGTTTAATGCTTTATAAAAAGTTTAATTTAAAATGTTTCTGTAGAAGATTTAAATAGAGTAAAATTTTGCCTTTTTAATATTTTAGATATATTTAGCAATAGAAATAGAACCATCATTGGATCTTGGTTTCATATGCGATAATTTTGTTTCATTTTAATTCAATTTTAATTATCAAACATAAAGCTCATTTTCTATCTCAACATATCTAACAACAGTTAAAATACAATAGCAAACAATCCTGTTGAGTTTTCTTTTTCAGAAAGTTAAAAATGTTAATTTTATCTTGAAGTTTTTTTTTCAAATTGTTTCAACATATTTATTGAAATTATAACATTTTAAGGAATTAAACAAAATGTTCGCATTTTACCGAAATTTTTTTTTCGACACAAAATAGCATTTAATTTCGTTAAGTTTTCTTTTTTTTAAACTGAACATATGAATTCCATTTAGACGTGGAAGGATTTAAAAAAAGTGTCTCAACATTTTTAAATGAAAATTACAATAATGTACGGAATTCAACAACATTACAATAATGTACGGAATTCAACAAAATTACAATATTGTACGGAATTCAATAAAATTACAATATGTACGGAATTCAACAAAATTACAATAATGTACGGAATTCAACAAAATTACAATAATGTACGGAATTCAACAAAATTACGATATTGTACGGAATTCAACAAAATTACAATAATGTACGAAACTCAACAAAATAACAAAAATTTACGGAATTCAACAAAATTTTCGCATACCGAACCCCAAATTTTCCGGCACAACATCAAACAAAAGTTAAAATACAACAGCAATAATTTCGTTAAGTTTTTGTTTAAAAAAGTAGAAAATTTTAAATTCATTTTAGATGTGAATTTTGAAAGTTTTAAACATTTTGATTGAAATTATGATAATTTAACGAATTGAACTAAATTATGAACCAAAATCCAATTAATGTGCTATTTCTTTCAATAAGATACTGGACATGCTAAATATGTTTAGAATATTGAAAGGGAAAAGTAAACTCTAAACAAGAATTTATAAAATCAAAATAAATATTTTTATAAATTGATAAAATTGCGTAATTGAGGAAAATCTGGTAATTTTGTACTTATCTGCAGTAAACATTGATAAGAAGAATTCCATGAAAAAAAAATTGTTTTTTCTTCTTTTATTTATAAACTTGTTTTTGTTTTTATTAAACAAAAAAAGTAACCTGTCAGAACATTGCTTTGGATATGTTATGGAAGATGAAAATTTCCCCGTATAATTGTTAACGCTCAGTCAATACGTCAGTATGATTCACCTAAATTATCATACAGGGAAATTTTCATCTTTCAAAACATACCAGCACTGCAGGGGCGGATAAGAGGGGGGGGGGCTGGGCCCACGCCTCTCCCCCCCCCCACCTAA